TGCGATCCATTGTCCGATCGAATCGACGTCCACGGGTTGAGGTCCTTGATAACTCGAACTTGATGAACCTGGTTTTGGAACAGATGATTTCGATGTGAGGGATGATTCGATGACAAGTTCAATCTCTTGCTTGATCAACGAATAGGTTGTCAATCTACTCTTGTTCAACAAAAGATGTTTCTCCAAATCTGGGGGTACTAGCATCTCCAATGAAGCGGACTTGATGTCGTCCGATAAAGTCTCCCTTTTTCCTGCGGCACTCCTCCGGGACACGTACCGCCTGATGAGCTCTTCGAGCTGTTCGATTGCTGGCCTCACCGCGGCCCACGTCTTGACTCGTTCAGGTTGGAGAATTGCTCGAAGTATATTGCGCTTCCGTCCCGAGGTTCGGGGATCCCAACGGCGGTGAACTCGCCGATACGCTTCAAATCCATTTGAAGCTCCTACCATCAAATCCTCTGTTTCACCTGAGGTCAGGGTCAGGAGGACGCGATGGATTTGATCCGCCTTATCCTCAAGATCTTCAATGGCTGCTATGGTGCCAGCCCCAAACGCGGATTCCATCTCACTCATTTCGATCGCGTCTTCCTGTTCCAAAAGATACTCTAGAACTTCAATGACTTCAATGAACTCCCTTCCAAAGGTAGATATGAACAGGTTATCAATGCTCCTGGCCGATTTTCGGAAATCCCCTTCAACATTCCCAAAACTCTCGGGGCGTCCCAAACCTTTGGTGTCCATAAGGATTTGGGACTTTCGCCTATCTTCCTTCTTCTCAAGGCTCTTAGCCAGTTCTCCTACGGCTGAAGCCAACATTGATACCCCACCTTGAGACTCCCTCAACACTTGGTTCTCTTGCTCCAACCTTGTTTGGTTCTGTTGGAGTTGCAATACCATATCGGTCAGCTGTTGGATCTGTTGTTCCATGGTTCCCTACTCTCAACCCTGCTGGCGCTGCTCTCGCACCTTTTCAGCTACGGACGATTCGTCCGATCTCCGGCCCTTACCGGGCCGGTCCAAGGGCTTTCACCCTTGGGACAGGTCAGAGGCTGACCCTGGGCTCTCAGGGGCCTCTGATGCGGCCCAGGCTCCTGCGGAGGTGAACTCCACCGGATCGCGGCCGATCTGGCGAGCCGGTGGTGGCCCGTCCGGAGATCCTAGGCCGCCGGACCGGTGGCGGTCCGTCTGGGGATCGGGGCCGCCTTACCGGACTGCGGCTCCTCTCCTTCAGTCTCACGGAAGTCTCTTCTTCCGATGGGCTCTCCTCCTCCTCTTCTTTCTCTTCGGCTGTATCAGCCGCTTCGCTCTTCTTCTGAGCCTTTCGCTTTGCGCTCTCCTCGCGCTTCTCTTTATTGCGGAGTCTTTGTTCTTTCCGCTCTAACCTGATCTCCTCCTTGGGGCGCTCTTTGCCAAACTCTTTGATCCTCTCCTGCAGTTCTTCTGTAATGACACCCTGCTTCTTTTGCAACCTCACCAAGTCCTTGAGCTTCCGATACTGAAGCGAAGTTTGGCTTCGATGTCGGAATCCGGACTGTGGTTCTGGATGCTTCTTCCTCCAAGGTGCCATGGGATCGATCTTGGCTGGGGTATACTTGGTTTGAGTACCACGAACTTCCCAACCCGTTGTGATCCCTTCTGCGGAGGTGACGAAATCGGCGATGGTTCGGCCAGATGATGACTGTGCGGCTGAACTAGCCGCTCCAGTCCCTGGCTCACCTGTCAGGTCTTGTTCAGACTCTTCTTCCTCTTCTGACCCTTCTGCTCCTTCTGTACTTTCCTTCTCCTCCTTTGTTTCTACGGTCTTCTCGACCGCTGAGGTTGTTTCTGCGGTCTTCTCAACCGCTGGAGCAGTGTTTGCGGCTGAATCCGCCGCTGATGTGGCTGGCAAAGGCTCTTTCTTCTCCTCCTCTCTTTCTTTTCTCTCTTCTCCTACTCCGCTCGGGGCGGCAGGATCTGCCGCTCCCGAAGGCCCCAGCTCCTCTTCTTCGGAGCTTTCTACTTTACTGTGTCTTTCCTCTTTTAGGCGCAAAACTCGGTCCCTTTCGCTTTCACCGGGCTCACGCGCTACCATGAAAATAAAGTTTCGACGTTTCGGAACGCCTTTTTCCCTTGAGCCAAAATACGTCAAGAGTCACGTGTCTGCAGTACCCTAGCGGAGTATATATGGGCTGTACATACAAACAATATACTGTGTATATATATATATATATGTATGATTGGTAGAATCATTGTCAAAGTTTTTCTTTCAAAGCTAACTTTGTAACTCAATAATGAATAAATAACTCTACCGTTCTGATACATTTGGCTTGCCTAAAAGCGTCCAGATTGATTAACTTAAGTTATATTAACTAATCCTGCGCACACTAATCATGGGCGTTAGGTTTTCAGCTTCGGTCTTCGGCCTCCTTAAGTGGAGCAAGCTAAGTTAGTTGATTAACGGTTTGGCTGTTTCAGGCTACAAGTTTATACCATCATATGCCATTCTATATTTTACGTGTTTCATTCTTACAGGTCAGTGTTCCTGTTAATAGCATTTAGAAGCTATCGCTCGATCATTGTGTAGCCAGTAGGTGGTCGGTGATGCAAGTGCAGTCGGGATAAAATACTGCCATAATACATTGACAAGGGGCCGGAACATTCCTCGCGAACTTCTGCTCTTCAGGGAAGCCGTCGCCCCACTCGTTGACATGGAGGAACCCCTCACGTTCCGCACCCACGTCCACAAAAACGCCTCGTTCTGCATGGCTGAGGTGAAGAAAGTTGCAAAAAGTAAAGGCAGCCCATTGACAAATGTTCCTGCCTTTTAACATCTGTTAAGTTGCTTTGGCCAAGACACCGAATCGCATGTAACGGCCCCGCTTGCCTTTCAACTCCATACCCACCTGGCCCAAGTGGTATCATGTGTTCAGTTCCCCTATCTCAGTATAGCCATGACATACCATGGCGTACAAGTATAGCCGATGATTTAATTGCAAAGTGTTTAGCATTGTCACCAAGCGTGCCTTCCATGTCTTCTCTCCCTGTGAATCTGCCTGATTCATCACTATGTGCCCCTTTTTGCTTGCTTAGTTACGTTCAACTTGCCTACACCTATACCACTTCAGTTCACTAGCATTGCTGCTGCACCGGCATGTTTGTGCGACGATCTCTGCTCATGTGCCTTCAAATCCTTCATGCGACATCTATCAGGACACCTTAAGAGGTCAAAAGGTGCATGGAACGTTCCAGTGGCAAATTGACTTGCTGCGTTTGTCAGGATTGGTCCCATCAATGCAAAGCCAATCTCGTGCTACTAGGGCGCCACTCTTCTGCAGCTCGCGCCACTCGCGTTTGCCTTTGCACCTGACTTGTCCAGGCCCAGGCCTGAGTTTCCGCATGACCACAAATGTTGATGATGTTGATGATGATGATGATCAGTTCAGTATCACTATGTCCAGTCAGTCATTGGATGTCATCGGTAATTAGCTTGTCGAACTGGTTTTCACCCATTCAGTGGTTCGTTTGGTCTGCAGTTGACTGCCTGTGAATGCCCTCTCACTCTCTCTCTCTATATATAGGCCCTCTAGGTCCGTAGGTTTCAAGGCTAAAGCACACGGCATAAATGCGGCTTTCTTTCGGACCCGTTGCCTTCTGCATTCCCGAGTAACACAGCATTATGCAAGCGAGCTGCTTCGGATGCTATCCGGCAGGATAGTCCCATACACATAAGAACGGACATCTGAATCAGTGATGGCCGTCGTCTTCGCATCGTCTTCCTCGCGAAAGCAAAGGCAGCGAAGTCTCTGTTCCCGTGCCCACAAGATCCACAAGGCATTTCGCAAAACCATGCCACCATTGGACGCTACTAGGAGCAAGTGCATCGCTACTAGTAACAAGGGCCTTACTACTAGGAACACGAAGCTTGTAGAAACAATAAGAAGCTATAGACTTTAAACCTTAAAGTAACCATCCGCTGTACTTTCCGTAACTGTCTTCAGACTCTTCAGACGAGACTCTTGAAACTATAAGCCACTTGCTGGCTGTCAAACCGAATGCCAAAGCAATTGGACTGCTTGAGCCCCCATGGCAACAAGCCAGTCCATTGCACCAAAATGTAAAATGCGTGAACTGGCATATAATACACGGTTGACATCATGCTGAGAGCTAAGCCAGCCCGGGAGCAGATCTGGAGTGCACAAGTGGCGCAGGTTGCACCTCTGTTGTGGCAGCAGTAGGGCAACTGCATCAACCTAATAAAAGAAGTCTGAGCAAATCCGCAGGTGAGGTTGTGCGAGACCCATTGCCACGTGCCCATCTCATACAGGCAGCCGAACTTTCTGTGTTTCTTGGAGAGCAGCCTGGCCAAGTAGGACATTGGACAAAGCCAGATTATGGCGTATGGATGCGCATGGCGTTTCAATTGGAACTGAGCTGAATAGCACAAACACGTGCATATCAACCTCCCTCCTCCCGCCTTTTGCTTGGAGAGGATCTCCAGAAAGGATTCAACCTCCTCATAGCGTTCCTTCAGCTTAGTGCTGACGAACCAAACAAATGCTATTATCTATGGTAAGTATGTAATCAAGGGTTCTGTGGCAACGATTCGCAACGATGGTCAATGAAGGCTAGGATAGAAATCCGGCCCATCCTCTAAAACACATGGTTTGACAATTGACCCACCCAGTGGAAAGTGAATGACTGTTGAAAACGAACATGGCTGAGCGCGAGAATTAATATTATATATAGTTATACAGATAGTTACCAAGAGTCCGAATTGAACAGTGCTTTGTAACCGGTGGGTAGGTGTGAACCTGCGAAACCACCTTTCAGCAGTGGATGCAACTAGCCCAGGCTGCAATATGCACAAAAGCCGGCAGTTCTGACAACTTTTTGGCGCGTTGCTCCCAATCTAAGCTCCACTTGGATTGTTGAGAGAGCCTCCGTGCCATGTGGCACTTCGAAAGCTAAAGGCCTCCTTCCATGGAAAGAAAGATTGCCCCGCAATGCTCACGGCCGCTCATTCAAGTGTAGAACGTGGTGGTCTTTACGCCTTGTTCTCTGGCTGTTGCCACCAAGGTATCCGACCTCAAAAACGATCGAACTTCATCAAAGTTGAAGACAAAATAGGACCAAATTTGGTGGACGAGGGTGTGGCAGTTTTCAACGCGACGGATGGAACAACATTCACAAGCAGTATATAGGATCATATGATGGGATTAGTATATATTGTATAGAAGTACCAGCAGCAGCAGGAGTAGCAGCAGTAGTGGTAGTAGTAGTAGTAGTCGTCGTCGTCTTAGGTGGGGCTGCGTGGGGATGGTCACAGGATGTCACAGGTTCTAATTAATTGCTCCAGGCCACCCATTTTCCATTGGAGCAAATGCCACCAGCTGGTCGATCTTGTTCAGTAGTGTCCTTCAGAAAAAAGAACAAGCACATACAAGCGAACAATCAAAATCCGCGTTTTGGGATGACATGGAGCATCATGGAGCCCCAAATACCAGTGCCCTGAGACCAGGCCTGTGACATTTGTGGGCTGCCTCATCAAAATCCTTCGAGATGCTTGTGGTGCCCGAAACCTGATCGGGAACAAAACAAAATAAACAAGCAAGACACAGAGTGGCCTTTGGCGGAGTTCTTCAACGGCCATGCACTGCAGCTTGGAGGCTACTGATGCTCCTGCGTCAACGCATGTATCAAGGAGTCTTCGAAACTTCGGATCTTGTTGATCAAGAGTCTGCGGTAGCAGAACCTCGCAGCAATATTGAATTTGGAACTGTATATGTAGAACTGCTTAATAACATTCAACAACATTCAACAACCATAATCTCTCGACAATACAGTGCGCATACTGGAATTCACTTGCAGTATGGGGTGACCATATAATCCGAAGGCGCTGTGAGTTGCTCGGGTCGTCCATGCTTTAGCACCCCTTTGATGACCGCTGCATTGGCAGGCACCGAAGCCGATGTGAAGATGTGATCCCCGTTGAGCGCGCGAGCACCGCTTAGCATTTCGATCCTGAATGCACAATTTAAAGCTCAGAGTGTCAAACCACAAAAGCATATGTTCTTCAGACTTCAATCTTGACCCTATGCCTCACACATCCTCACACAATATTAGAGTCGACAATGAATGGCCAACAAACGAATGGAGAGCAAAAAGCCCACCACAAGCGTTTGACAAGCGGTGTCCACCGCACTCGATTCAACTCGATTGCAACAAAGCGCAGTGACCCATGGCGCCCATTTCCAGGCACCAAGCGTCTCTCTCTGATGGCTAGGGGCACAGTCATGTGTACAAAGGATTGCCACTTTGTGCTCGGCAACATTATCTACCTGCGCACATTGAGCACTGAGCACGTAATGTCGACCTATGATTTATCAATATCCCCTGAATAAAGCTAAGCAAATCCCAGAACAGATTATTAAATTACCCCTAAATAAAGCTAACTGTGTTCACCCCTGGCCCTAGGTATCCCAAATCCGCCTTTAAAAAATGTCCCTTAAAAAATCCTGCCTTGAAAGAAAGCAAGCAGCACAGCACAGCAACCCACCACCACCACCAACACACACTACCACCAACCCTCCAGCTGACAAGGAAAAAGATCCAAATGAACCTAGGGTGATTTCTTTTAACATCCCTTATTAAAAAATCTTGAACAAAGCTATGAAAACAGTTCAGCAAGGGTACTCCTCATGAGGGCCCAAGTACAAAATAAAGATTGACCCTAAATACAGCTAAGGACCCCTTGATCCTGGTGAGGATTCCTGCTGAATCAATGGGTCCTCAATGGATTCCTTTCTTCTATTCCTTTCCTTTATAGATTCTTATACTAAAGGAAAAATCTCTACCAATATATATATAATATAACAATACTAAACAGTTGAAAACAGTGTTTAAGTCTATTTGAGGTCTTTCCGGGGGGGGGGTGGCCCCCCTATTGATTAATCAGAGGTGGACATTAGTTCAATGCTCTGCGACCAACCAATATCGCATGATTTTGTTAATTTTGTGCAATGGTCAAACTCCTTACACGGACTGGAGGATTGTATTCCCACCCTTGCAAGAGTCCTCGAGAGAGATGTATCAAAACAACAAACGCTCATGACCGTTCTGGGGTCTAGTGGCTATGGTGCATCCCTCAGCATCGGATCCGGATTGAACCCCCCGGGTGCAACACTAGGCGGACAGGCGGGCCACTGCTCCACCCCTGCAATTAAGGGGATAAGCTAGGGTGTGGACGGCTAAACACGCAACCTGCTGCATCAAATTGCGCTTAGACCAGAGTGACTGACCTGTTGTGATCGCGGCATTTAGATGAGATATGATGAGATGTTCCTCCCTATTCAACTCATTTGGTGATTCGGTGTTGGATGGAATGATGAAGAAATGGGTTGCCACCCAGGACTGTGTTATGCGCCTCAAGAGCTTCCGTGATAGGCTGACTTCTTCGGGCCTTGCGTCCCAACAGTTGCCGGCACCTGGACATGGCATGAGGGGTTGATGCAGGACGGTTTTCCGAATTCTTGCAATGCCACTCAGGCAGAAGAAAATGGCTATGAGATGCTTAGAACTTTCACTGCAACGCGGGTCACCTTCAATGGTTCACCAGAAGAAGGTGCATCCAGAGTCATGAATTGATCCCTTCGACACGATGCTCGGTTGAAGGACCATATGGACTCAAGAGCTATGGTCGAGTTAATGACTCTTATCATAGAGGGTATAGCGCAAAGGCGAGTTGTTTATCGCTAGTAGGGTGGAGGCCATCGCTACTAGGGTGAGGCCATGTGCTAGTAAAGCTTCATCAGCTTCTGTCAAATCTAATGCAGCACTGATTCGCAAGCATCATGTCGTACCCGTTTGACAAAAAAAAACATGCCTGGGATAGAAGGCATTGCAACATATTGTGAACTGAAGTGAGGTTCAAAGGGAATACAGAGCTGAAAGGCCGGAAAAACCCAAGCTGAGCTCCGGACGCTCGCCACACAGCAAAGGTCCGAAGATGGAATTTGAAAGTCTCCTTGCAAATGTGGAATGGACTTTATGGTGTTGATATGATCTGACCTGCTCGCTACTAGTAACAAGTGCCTTACTAGTAGTAACAAGAAGCTATTAGGAACAAGTGCCTTACTACTAGTAACAATAATAACTTTATGTAGCTGCCTGTCACAATCCGACGTTCAATGTTTTACAATCAAATGCGCGTGTTTGTCCCGTTCTTTTGGCAGAAACTCGCCTGATTGCGGAAATCTGAAAGTATCACATTCAATGTCCGTATGCACTGTCCAAGGTTCCCATTTCGTCAGTGGCTGGCCAGAGCTCTTGGGAAGCGTAATGGTCTTGACGCCCTGCCGGTGTGACTGTAGAAGGGGTTGAGAGGACTCACCCTCCACCCTTCGCTTTCCCCTTGTTTTGTAACTTATCACTAAAAAGCTTATTGTTACTAGTAGCGATGCCCTTTGTTACTAGTAATTAGCATCTTGCTCCCAGTCGTAATGCCAGGAGCTACTAGTAGCTGGTTGAAATATGTCCACAGCGTGAGAGCAGGTCACCCGCAATAGTGCTTGTCCAACAAAGAGGCCAACTAGCACTTGGTGCTGATATGATTCTGGAACGTTGGGATCACGTACCTGCATTTCATAAAGATAGTTTTGCAACTGCACTATTCAGTCACAAGGCTGTTTCCAGGTTTGGTCCAGATCGGCGTATCCACTGGCATACGTGCTTCAAGACTCTAAATAATTTGTGAGTTGGATGCGTCTTGTGACATTTCCTCGGCTCCTGCATCTCGCTGTATGCATTTGGAGTTTGTGAACGAATGTGAGTATACACACTTCCAATTTCTGGACTCCTCGCAACTTCAACTTGTTTACGGCACATTGCAACACTTGATGACTTTACGACACGTCCCGAGACGTTCATTCCGGGACGGCTAACAACCATGATGCAAATGTGTATATTATATATATATATTCAAATATATTCAAATGTAAATTATGACTCCTCCCCCATAAAGAAACAACTGACGTATGTGCATGTGCAAAAATGCAAACAACACTGCTGTCTGCCGGCTGCCAGCACAACCTGCTTGATGGGTCATGCCACTGGCTAGTGAAGAAGGCTTGTGGCAAATTATCATCTTCCCTTTTGCCATGGAGCAATGCTGAATACGCTCTCTGCAACAAGTCGGTCTGTCATGCCCGTAGTCCCGCTGTTCGGCAGGCAAGCCTCCCGAGTCCTCTCAGTTGTTGCGGACACCTGACACACAAAAAGAAATCACTGTTGCAGAAACTCTGGAAGCCAACATGCAGCGGCAAAAGCCTTGATGAAGTAGGCATTTCATTGATATAACACACAACGCGATTGCAAACTATTGTTGCACAGTCCGGCCTTCAGTCGAGGCTTCTCTCGCCACAAGGCAGGGAAAAGCACAGGGCAATGATTTCCAGCAAGCATGGCACTCTGGACTGCGGCCAAGCCCATCAGCTACTGCTCGCATTTGTCGATCGCTGTCATCAAACAATTGGACTGGATTTGATTATGCTTCAATGGCTCTCCTAATTTGCTAGTTATATATATATATATA